GAGCGGGTATGTGCGTGAGATCTATGGGCTTAGATAAGAAATAACAGGTGGATGCTTAAAGATTACTACTGAACACAGCGGGAGTTCATAGATTCATCCAAGAGTCGGAATACAAGTATGAGCAAGTGACGAACACAGCACGAACATGGAACCCTAAGAACAGATCTAGGTCAAGAAGAGGAGAAAGCTTACTGGGAACGGAGAAGATGCGGAACGATACCGCAGTGCTCTGGGGCGCTCAGGTTGATGCAGCGGCCCAAGACGAAGCAGAGGTCGACGGTGGCGGCGGAGCTCCAAGGCTGGTGACGCGAGGAAGACGAGGGGAAAAGAAAGGAGATGACCATTCGGTCTTATTTATAAGGCAACAGAGTTAGGTCAAGCACGCGGATCCAGGAGCTGCCGTTAAAAGAAGGCGTTATAAATGACAAATTTCATGATGACGTCATGCCGGTTTACAACAAACCAGAAATGATGACAACATGGCGGTTTACCAATTACCAGAAGATGTCCAAGACACAAGATTTTGTGAAGGATTGACATGAACCAGTTCAAATCAATCTGGGGCCTAATGTTGGGGATATTACCACTAGGCGTAAGCCGGCCTACTTGGGCCGGGTTAACTTCATTAGTGGTATAAGCAGATGAAGGCCCAAGACCTATAGTCAGTTTAGAATCTGTAGCCGTAAACCGACCTGATGTATAACTTGTATTGTAAGTTAGGAATAGAGAGATACCAACCGGGATACGAGTATGAACCGGTTGGGACTCTATGGACTGACGGGCGTCACCCGTGTATATAAGGGGACGACCCGGCGGCGGTTCAAGACAGACAACGACAACTCGAGCCTAGGCGAAGCTTGTTTGCTCCCTAGCCATCGAGACCATATCAATTCCATCACAACTAGACGTAGGCTTTTTACCTTCATTGAAGGGGCCGAACTAGTATAAAAACCCTCGTGTCTTTGTGTCCGTTTTAACCCCTTCAAGTAAACCCGTGGCGATGGCTCCACGACTAAGTCCTTTCACTAGGACATCTGCCGTGACAAATCCACGACAACTTCTGAGCAACATAATTTACGAATACATCGGTCTTCAATGTGACAGCTTAAGACCCATGTCATTTTCTTCAATGCAAGATTTTGCAAACTTTTGTTGTATGAACCAACATTTGCATTGAAATGCACTGGATGGAGTTCAACAGTGAAGTCAGACCAATCACCTAATTTTTTTAGACAATAGATCCTTGCACATGATTCCTAGGAGAAATATGAAAGAATTCAGTGAGCACAAAATCTACCTGAACTTGACGATATGGCCAACAATTTTAGAGAGCTCACATATTTTTCTTTTATTGCTCTTGAGATCTGCCTATTCAGAAGTGATGTAACTAATTTTGCATCCATCTTACCACCAAAATCTGAACATGTGAGTGTTTTTAAAAAAGTGCTTCAACAACATTGCTGAGTATGTATGCATAAGCATAAACATGCATTATCCTAATATTTTGCTTCATGCAAATGACCTGCAGTAGCGCGGAGAACACCACATGCAGCTCAACACTGGCTTGCCTTGGCACTTTTCTCTATAGAACACGCTTCACACCAGTATAGCAGCTCACGCAATACCCACTTTTTGGGATTTGCCCGCGCAGTTAGGAGATAAATGGCACAAGGAGGCAGGCGGCCGAGTGGTGGAACAAGATGTCCTAGAGTGAAGTGTCATGTCCAGTGAGGTGTCCAATGAAGGAGGGACGGAGCAGAGACTGTCAGGGATGCCACAAGAGGTCAATGGAGGGTGTCACAGTGGATCAGGCTAGAGGAGATTGGATCGGCTAGGGCCCAGGGAATGAATCACCATGGAAGGGAGGGAGTCGACGTCCTAGAACCCTCCCCATGCTGCATC